CTACACATAGTTACTTCAAATGTCAGTTTTGAGACTGACAAGAACTTTTTGAGTACAGCTAAATCTTATTTTTTTATGTACATTACAATTACAAGTTATAATACTTTAAATTGATAACAACCTTAATACATATAGCATGTTCATGAGTATTTTAAAACCTTTTTAACTTGATATTTATCCCTAAACATTTAAACATTCCATTGTTTTAATAGTCAATGAAATGAATGCCACATGTGAACTATATGCACAAAAATAAAAAATACTCAAAATAACAATTATACTCAAAATTATGTCAAGTATATTAAGATGGTGAACACCTGCACTTTGCACTTGGCTTTACTGCACTACAAACTTCTAAAAAGGACGATGAAAATAACATGAATATATAAAGAATATACTTATTTCCCTTTAAATGTAACTACTCCCCAGAGAGTGAGCTGCCGAGGCGGAGGTTTGTGCTCTCTGGAGTTTTTTTCTTAGGCTTTCTTTTCTTTGCTTTCAAATCTAACAATTTGATTTATTTGTGCTTGCATACACAAATCCATCTTTGTCCATTTTCAAGAAAACAATAAGTGCTATCTAGTCAGCCACAAAGGCGACAGGATTTAAGGGTGAGCGTGAGCCTGATTTAACGTGGTCATATAGAAGTCTCCCACTTGGTGGCGCTACACAGCCACTAGGCGCTGAAAAATCCGGATGATCTTATATCGTCGTGTTGGTGTTGATCCTGGAACAACATAGTAAATGTTGTTCCAGGATCAACATTGCAAGTGACCAATCACATTCTTCTGACGTTATTCTTTGGCGCACCAAGCCATTCGTGCATTTATGAAATTCCAGTGTTGCAAGGACAATATCAATTCTGCTTAGCGTTTATTAAAAGGTTGGGGTTAGGGTCAGGGTCAGATCGTGCGAAAAATCCCACCTCTCTCATACTTACTTCTCAGTTACCATATTTGTTTACATTTCACCAATAGTTTCCTGCACAGAATAGTGATCACTATACTTTACTGCATTTAAACAAATTTAACTTATATTGTTTAGAGCAATGGTGTAGCCTGTTATGACTCTATGAGGAGGCTTTGCCCTTTTTCTTTTCTTATCTTTTTATTCATTTGGCTGACTGAGTTTAGTTTTTACTTTAAGCAGCACCAGTGTGAGGTCAGCAGCAGGCGGTGATCACCAAGCAAAAGGCACTGTAGGGTCAAATTCAGCTCAAAAATTTTGCAAGCTGTGTTACCGACAGGGACATCTGCTGTGTCAGGAGGTTAAGCTCCATAAAATCACAAGGATACACAAAAGAGGAAACTTTAAAAATACATTTTTGAATTGTTTTGAGTTGGGTTGCCAGTTTGGTAACAATTAAATCATCTGCCTGAATTTTCTAGAGCCTGTGCCTCAGTTATAAGCCTCGTGAGTTACACAATTTGGCATGCAGCAGGGATTTACAGTAAACAGGGATGAACTTTTTAGGGATGTGCTAAAAACAGCTTCTCTATTCTATTTTACTGTTTCCAGTTTTTATTAAAATATGTTTATACTGATTCAACTATAACCCAATAACAGACTCCTGTCTTTTCCTTGGCGTATCTCACTTTTTGCCCTTTGCCAGCTGACATCCAGGATGAGTGGGTAAAAAAAAGGGGGAAGAATGGTGTAATTTTTTTTAACATGATTTCATTATTTATGGTTATGGTTATGAATTTAGGTTAATTTTTAAATACAGCTGCTGAATATTTGAATTTTATTTATGGCAATATTTAAAGTATCTATCTATCTACAACTGTTGCTGTGCTATCACAGCTCATGGAAAATTTCCGACTTCACTTAGAAAAAGCGTTAATGATAAAAGTTAGCTGAAGAAGTGTTGATTAACTAAAAGACAAACATAACAACAACAGAGCGATTACATGAGGCACAACTCACCAGCAGCAGACTGAAGGTGCTTCTCTGTCGACCGAAATAAACAAAGTGCTCGGTGTGGACAGATCTCGTCAGGATATCTTGACCTGACGAGATCTGTTGGTAATCTTTCCACTTCAGCTTTATCCTATTACTGTCCTTGCTTGAGGTTGATGCCCGTTAATCCGGCAGTCGTCACACTGACTGAGTGGTTTGTTTTGGACAAGAGACTGCTTAGTCACATCAAACGTACTGTTGACAACCAGAAAAATGTATTTATTTCAAATGTTGTAATGGGGTATCGGCACATGTCAGACAAGACTAACCATCAGAGGCCAGAAGTCTTGTATGTGCACATTAGAGGCTGAAAGGTTTGAGCGAGGTTTACTCTGTGGCTGGCTTTTATATGAGGTGCAGAGAAGATGTCCCTGAAGGGATTCAAGTTAAATAACCACAAAAGAGTCAAAATGTCTCAGAATCAACTGCAAATTCTGATTACATCTGCCAGCAGCTGTACATCTGTGTAAAGGCTTTTGGAAATGTTTGCTGCACACACAAATATTAATGTTAAATTAACCATTACCAGTCAACCAAGCAACCAAGCACACATGGTTGTCTCAGTCCTGTTCACACACACACACACACACACACACACACACACACACACACACACACACATAACAAACAGTCAACAACACCAACACACACACACACACACACACACACATGAGTGATATAAACACAGTGAGCTGAGCTTTACACGTTATTCTTTCTGTTGTTAAGCTTGTTTTGGGTTTTTTTTAACCTGAGCCGGACTGATCTCATAACCTATACTGGCACAGGTGAAAGAGGTGAATAGTACACTCTGTTATATATTATATGAATAGAAGCCAGTCCAGCCTATTTTTTAGTAAAGGGACACATTCCTCTCAGCAGAAAGCTGTTTCCATTAAAAGTTTTCATTCTTGGTCAAATGTGAGGGACTCTCTCACTGCTGCTCCCATCATTCTCAAAAATGTGCCCTCTTTGCATGGTGTGACCCAGATAATAGAGTCCTTATGAATAATAATCAAAAACAGGCAGTGCTTCAGCCTCACTGACACCTTCTGCACCTGGTTCCTATAACACTGCAGGGCAAACCCGTTCCTCCCATGTCCTTCCATGGCTCAGCTCAACATAAAACAGTTGAATGTATAAAATGGCACTTGGCTGTGTAAGATTTCAAGCACACAATTACTCATTGAGAAATTCAGGTCAATTTTATTTATATAGCGCCAAATCACAACAACAGTTGCCTCAAGGCTCTTTATATTGTATAGTAGACCTACAATAATACATACAGAGAAAAACCCAACAATCATATGACCCCCTATGAGCAAGCACTTTGGCGACAGTGGGAAGGAAAAACTCCCTTTTAACAGGAAGAAACCTCCAGCAGAACCAGGCTCAGGGAGGGGCGGGAGAAGGAAAACATGCTGTGGAAGACAGACAGAGATTAATAACAGGTATGATTCAATGCAGAGAGGTCTGTTAACACATAGTGAGTGAGAAAGGTGACTGGAAAGGAAAAACTCAATGCATCATGGGAATCCCCCGGCAGCCTACACCTATTGCAGCATAACTAAGGGAGGATTCAGGGTCACCTGGTCCAGCCCTAACTATATGCTTTAGCAAAAAGGAAAGTTTTAAGCCTAATCTTAAAAGTAGAGATAGTGTCTGTCTCCCGAATCCAAACTGGAAGCTGGTTCCACAGAAGAGGGGCCTGAAAACTGAAGGCTCTGCCTCCCATTCTACTTTTAAATACTCTAGGAACAACAAGTAGGCCTGCAGAGCGAGAGCGAAGTGCTCTAATAGGGTGATATGGTACTACAAGGTCATTAAGATAAGATGGGGCCTGATTATTTAAGACCTTGTATGTGAGGAGCAGGATTTTGAATTCAATTTTGGATTTAACAGGAAGCCAATGAAGGGAAGCCAAAACAGGAGAAATATGCTCTCTCTTTCTAGTCCCTGTCAGTACTCTTGCTGCAGCATTTTGGATTAACTGAAGGCTTTTCAGGGAGTTTTTGGACATCCTGATAATAATGAATTACACAAATAGTGCTGGGTGTGTGTGTCATGTTTAATATTGTGGCACTGATCAAAGTCTGAAGTCCTGGGTTGAAGACATAAGCAGAGAACTGAATTATAATGAATGAAACTGTTAAAAACTGTTAAAAACTGTGCCACTCCTGTCAGCTAAGAACAGAAAACGGAGGCTACAATTCACACTAGGAACTCATAAGGATCCTTGCAAAACAGGTGAAAGCCATTGATAAATTCTCTTGATTACAGCCTGTTTACAAAGAGGAGCAGGGATATTAGACATGAAAACAGATACAAACATTGGAAGTGACTTTTTGGCATGACACCTGCATTAGCAGCATGCACCTAATAAAATGTGTGTGACTGTATTTATTCATCTGATAACCCCTTTATTCAATATTTGCATCTTTTTCCATTTTATTGAGCAGTTATTTATACAGACCAAAAGAGAATCAAAAGAAGTGTGGAGCACTATTGTACTCAGATCCTCAAATGAATACCAGAGCTCCTCATGTATTCTGGACGCGCTAACACCTCGTGATAATTAGCTCCCCAAGCGACCAAAAGAGAAAAAAAAATCTTCTCCAATTTCTTCACATTTTTAACTGCGCGTATTTAAACAACTGGAGCTCCTCTTAAAAAAGTAATAATAATAAGAATGATGACGTAAAAATAAAACTATAATATGGAAAATCTGAAAATAAAATAGAAGTCTTCTACCTTTTATTTTATTTATTTATGTATTTATTTAGTTAGTTTGCCATGAGACAAACATTTCAGTCCACTCTGAGTTCTTCTTCGGTTTTGTGTTTTCGGACATAAAAACTGAACCAATAACGGGGAACACAACATTTGGAATCACTATAATTCAGAATCATTCTCCCATATTAAGACTGGGGAAATCAAAATGAACCGCACAATGGCAGCTGTGCGCTGTGTGTGTATGTGCAAACACCCTCTGCAGACGGTGCGCACAGATGTGAGGAACACGTGGTTTCTCCAAGCAGCCACTTCCTCTCACGTATGGATTCCTTCACTTTGGAGTTTCTCCTGTTACTCTTGCGGGTGTGACTGGAGCGCTCATGACTCGGATACACCCTCAAACTCAGCATCCCTTCCAACAACCACATAACTATTTTACATTTTTCCTCCCTGCTTTTTTAGAACTTCTTCTTCCATTTCTTATTTTTAGCAAAGTGCGTCCTTTTTATGCAGCACTAAAGTTACCTGCGCTGAAGGAGGTCTAGCTTAAAGAGCTGCGGATGGAGCTTTGAAATCTTATTATTGTTATTATTATTCTTTTTAATAACCTATCAACACGCTAAGGAAACCGGGAAAGCCCACGGATTCAAGGTGCCTTGGCGCATAACGGGAGGTTTCGGGCAAATGCCACTGCGATGCTGTGGATGTGACTTCAAACAGCAGCTTCACAACGGTAGAGTCCTGTAAACCACAATGAAAGGTAAGCTCAGTCTGGGGACAAAAGTTTTAAAATGATGGAAAATATCTAAATAGCAAACTTCGGTCTACTTTCTGTTTACCCCACATTCCTCTCGCGCTTTTTTGTCACACTTTTTTGCGCGCGCGCTCTCTCTCTCTCAGTCTGGGGCATGAGGAATGCGTAGGCTACAACTGGCGTCTAACATCTGGAATCAATTAAGGCACTCTGTTTGGGATTGTTTTGCATCTGTCCACTGCTGCACATCAAACACTAACCCGTGTTAGGAGAACTTTTCAAAACTGAGGAAAAAAATGAATCATGGTGCAGTGTGTGACTGCCTCGGGAGGGAGAACGTGTTGTTTTAAATCAAGGTTTAGATAAAGATTTCCCAGATGCGATTCTCATGTATTGCCCTGGTGTTTTGGACTAAATTAAGCTCCTCCATGTCAGTCTCTGAGGTCCAAGCTTTATAGGTCAGTAAGCTGTTTCCCTCTTACAAATAACAAACACTGGTTACTGCCATCTTGTGGTCTCTCTTAGAGAGCTTCACATTTTGACCACATTTTTGATCATCTCTGGGATTTCACATTATTTCCGCCCAGCAGAATGACAGACATTGCCCTTATACTTTCAATTTCTGATATTCCTGATTTTAAAACAAATATAATAATAATAATAATAATAATAATAATAATAATAATAATAATAATAATAACAATAACAATAATAATAATAATGAAAGGGAATGATTTATGGCCTGACCATCAAATTAAAGAATTTAGAAATTATGGCACTGCATAACCTCAATGCAAAAACAAAAAAAAACGCAAATCATATAAAATCCATTAAGGCAGGTAAATACTTGCTAGGATCAGACTCTACAGAGTCCATACTCTGTAGAAATAGAGGAAGTGCATTCTGCAATCTGGGCGCAACAGCTTGGAAGGCTCCTCTCGAGTTCTGAAACGGGTGTGGGGGACCACTAGAAGGTTTTGATTCTTGGCCCTTTCTTGTTTAGACAAGTAAACAGACGATTACAGTAGTCCAGTCTTGTAGAAAGAAAAGCATGAATTATCATCTCAGGTTCACTTTTTGACTCAATTAATCTAAGTTTTGAGATGTTTCTCAAATCACAAAAACAGGTTCTTACTATCCATTTTAAGTGTCACTCCAAGGAAAAAGCTTGACCAAGAATAAAACCTAAATTTGGAGACCTTGGAGAGTTTGTGACCTTCAGAAGGCTTAAATGAGCAGTATAGCAGAATATCACCAGCAAAAGATGATAAGAAACATCAAGAAACTGCTGTGTTATCTGGCCTAAAGGAAGAATGTACATCAAAAACAGAATAGGCCCCAGCACAGAGCCTTAAGGAACTCCACTCTACTGAATCCTACTGCTTATTTTTATATAGATATACAGACATGGAAGTGTATTTTTTTTTAAATCTAATCTTACAGATACTGCACATTGCTAATACAAGCAGAGATTTTAACAGAATAAATATCAGTATATTTACACTGTTTATCTGTATGTATTGTTACTGCTTTCATTTAAAATTTGAATATAAATGTGAAGGGACGTCTTAATACAGAAGATAATTAAAGGCAAATAGATACTTATAGAAGGCAAACACAAAGAGGCACTGGACTGCTGTAGGATTCAAGTTTTAAAATACTGATGTTGATGGGGCCAATATATTGGGCGATATTAGCTGTTTTTCAATATACTGGTATCAGCATTTAAAGAAGAGATTGAAGAAACACCCTTCAATTGTGTTATGATTGTTAATGCAACTTCTTTGTTGTCAACACGTTTGGAATGCTAGCTGATCCAAGCAAAGTCAGGCGGCGCAGAAACAAGTAATCCACCACTTGCTGTGACAATAAAGCACATTATTTTTCTTTGTATTATCTTAGTAATGACTCATAAATATCTATATATAACAAATGTTATTGAAATCTGGCAATGTTTCATCTGTCCGGTAGAAAAAAAATATCAGCCAACATATATGTCAGAGTTTTAAATCAGTAAATATCAGTAACGGTGTGAAAAATCTTATATTATTATTATTATTATTATTATTATTATTATTATTATTATTATTATTATTATTATTATTGTTACATATTTTAAACTTTCTTTTCCATGCAGGACTTTGTTTATATCCGAGAGACAGATGGCCTAACCTTCCAAAATGGACAAATTGTGTCCTCTCAGTATTATGTAACTATTAGTCTCACTAGTATCTGCTTCTGGAATGTTAAACAATCTTTCTTAAGTATCCTGGCCCCATGCAGCAGTACGCATCGCCAAATCCAAATAACACTCACTTTGACTTGCGCTTTTTTCAGGTCAGCCCTTCGGGTAAAATTCCATTTCCCAAAAATGACTTTTCAGCAGCTCCAGACTTACACTGATACAACTATTGTAATGGGATGTTTTCATGTTACTTAGAAACATAAACAGGAAAGAGGTTGTTGGGGGTGTAGGGATAGGGAAACACAAATTGTAAGATTGGTTTAGTATGTTTTACAACACTTTAGATTGTTCTGGTCACCTCTTAGCTCCATCTGCTCTCTGTCCATGGGGTCTGCTAAAAGGTCAGAGTCATTTATTTCAGTACTAGACCTTGGAAAGAGGCAGCTTCCCATCACACATTTCTTACTTCTCCCGTTTCCAGCTGAAGAAGCACTGATAGAAAAGAGTCACTGCTCTAGTCTTCAGACATTTATTGCCCCTTTTAAGGTTATATAGATGAAAAAGGGGGGTTTTGTGATAAGATTATTGGGACATGTTTTGTTTCTTTATTTTCATGGGTTAGAGTTGTTCCTACAGACATGGGAGAATAATCCCACACAGTGGTTTTGGGTTCAATCCTGTCAAGGTTGGACATGTTGATAGTCTGACTTAGACGACCTCAGTTGGACAAATTTTGGACATGTTTTTAAAATGTTTAGGGCAGATTCAGTGGGCAACAAATATACATTTCCTATATGATTTTCTTACAGTACTCATTGAGAGAGACATGGTTTTAAATATCCTCTACAAAGGAATATTTTGATTTAAATTGACTGGAGAAGTCTGTTCTTTATTAAACTGTAATTTGTGTAGAAAATAAAAGCTAATCTTAGGGTTTCAGTAATGTTTCAATCTCTTCATCAACAGGCACAGTTTACAGTATATTCAAGCTCACATCTCTTTATTTCTGTCTGACTGAATTTAACATTGTATTGGTTTTTGGTTTTTCTTTTTGTTTACTTTCCATTAAATTTTATCCCTTTTGCTGTTCTCCTTCCAGACGACTTTGCTGATGAGGAGGAGGTGCAGTCCTTTGGTTATAAAAGGTTTGGTAAGTATAAAGTGACTTCTGGAACCATCTGCTGTGACCACCTTAACTGGTTCATATTTCTTATGACACATCAGTGATTTTGCACACTTTTTTGTGTGTGTCTTGGCTGTAGCCCATCTGCAATAATCCTTGAGGTTAAATGCAGACTGCAACTCATTTCCGAGAAAGGTACTTATTTTTGGCTTTAGCTTTCATTTTTATTTTATTTCTTTGTTATAATAGAAAAGGATTACAGTGGAACGAGAAACCACAATATCCTGGGTGTTCCTGACTAGCTGATAACTTTGCAGTTTTATCAGCACGTGTGTACTTCTGTTAAACCCTGAGCTATATAAAACATAAAAACTGCCTCCCACTGGATCTGTTCTTGGTATGTATTTGGGTCTTATGCAGACAGGTTTGTTGACTTACCCACTCATCAGGTAATATATATATATATACCTCAAAACAGATGTTGTTAACATCCTAGATGTATGGCTATATTGATATCAGCCATTGGCTTGTGACATATGCAGAATCTGTAGGCAACAGGAAAGATTTCTGATATGTAAAGTGGATCTGAGAGTCCACAAACACTACATAAGATTTTCTTATACAGAGGAGGTACCCATTGTTGGATGAAAAATGTACATTTCAGACATTTCTGTACTGGCTTTACTTTTCAGACACCATGTGTGGTGCTTAAATGGAATGCAGCTTCCTGCAATTCCCATAAATGCCCAATAAAAACAGATCAAATTTTATCCCTTTAATATTTGAGTGTTACAGAGTCCTTAGTGTTTATGCAGCCTAAATGCAGTGGGTGAAATACCTACCTTAAATAAGTTAAATCAGTTTAAATTTTATGTGTAGAGATCCAATTTGCAGCAACAGTCTTCTAATTTTAGGTAAAGAACCTACAATTAGAGAGAAACAAATCTACAAGCAAGCATTTAGTGACAGTGGGAAGAAAGAACTCCCTTTTAACAGGAAGAGACCTACAGCACAGCTAGACTTCTGTGTGGGGGAAGCTGTCTAACATGACAGTTTGGAAGGAGAAGAGAAAAAGGACAGCATAGGGAGAACTTTTGGAGAAAGAAGACAAGTCAGTGACACACAATATTAGCTTGTAATTGCATTATTGGTGAAAATAGGTGAGTGAAGAGGAAGAGCTCAGTTAATTACGGTATAGGAAGTCCCCCAGCAGCCTGAGCCTATAACAGCATAGTTAGGTGATGGTTCAGGATCACCTAATCCAGCCTCGACTATAAGTTTAATCAAAAAGGAAAGGCTTAGGTCCAGTCTTAAAACTAGAGAGGGTGTCTTTGTCCTGAATCCAAACTGAGAGCTTGTTCGATGGGGGAAGGGCCCTTAAAGCTGAAGGCTCTGCCTCCTGTTCTTCTCTTGGAAGCTCTAAGAACCACAAGTAAGCCTGCAGTCTGAGAATGAAGTGATGTATTGGGAGAATATGAGGTCTCTAAGATATGATGAAGCTTGATTATTCAGGACTTTTTATATGGAAAGAATCATTTTAAATTTAGTTCTGGTTTTAATCAGGAAGAGAAGCTAATGTAGGAGAAATATGTTCTCTCTTCCTGGTTCCTGTTTGTACTCTTGTTGCAGCATTTTGGATAACAATGTATCTCATGTACAAGACGTTCCAAATGTTGTTTATTTTTACAAGTAGCTTTTGTTTATTTTCTAGGCTGTCTATTACTGTATGTGCGTTAAACATGAATGCATGTGCTGATCCAACTCTTCTTACAAGAATAGGGCAGTTTGCATTTCTTTGCTTCCAAACCAAACATCGTTGTTGCTATGAATGTGTTTTTGTGTCATTCAGACAATATTTATGTTGCCTATTATTTATTCAGACCATCTGCACTTTTTACTGAGCTGTTTGACCTCTGGTTTCTAAACAGATCACATAAGCGATAAGGGAAGTTGTATACCTAAATTGTATTTTTTCAAGTAGTTGCTGGACTTGAAACCTATCAAAACTGCTCTTTGGCACAGATTCTGTACAAGAAACACAATCCCTCCCTCCCCAGCAATATTAGTTTTTGATTGGCAGGGAGAAATTTGTTTCATGTTGCTCTCAGACCTTCAAAACATATTCACTCGGCACGTCATTTCTATATTTTTCATACTAAAACTAGTCATTTAGGTCCTCAGTCCTATAGGGAAGCATCAGCATTTCTTGTTTGTCCACTCAAGATGTAGTTTGATGTTTCGATATAAACAGTCACATACTATGAGCAGATTGATATTGTGCTCACGTCTTTGCATAAAACAGGGAGCTAGAAGCCATGAAGACGGGAAGCTTAGAAAAACATGTAGCCTGCATAGTTTATACATCCACCCTGCATTTCAGGGATTTTCTCCAACAAAAAATGTTAAACTGTACCTTTAACTTGTCTCCTACACTTATACATTAGCAAAAAATGGTATGTTGCCCTGCGTCTCCTATGTCTTCTTTTAATGACAGGAAAGATGGTGTTGACTCATTCTGACATTTACTTTTCACAAGTGGTCTGTTTTCCCACTAAGAGTACGTCCAAACCTGAGAAGTTGCTGAGCTGCTTCCTGTGTCCATACTGGAGGTTTATTCATTGCCGGCCCGTACTCCAAAAAAGAAAATGAGACAGAGGTGGAGTGTGGGTTTCAGGTCTGGCCTGTGCTGTGTCAGCAAAATGCCAAAGGAGAGAGAGGGAAGAGGGAAGTGGAAAAATCTATTTTTTTATTTTATTTTAAAATGCTTCCTTTATCTTAGCATCACTCAGTGCCCAGTGGTTGTTTTTGCAGTTTGTAATCTGCATTTATTTTTGACTAATTCCACAGGGAAACATTTTTCCATTGTTTTGTTTTTGGGTTATTGGTTTTTTTCTTTTTTGTTTCTTGTTTCTTTTTTTTCTTGTTTCTTTTTGGAGCTGATGAGTCACGTTCTTTGCTTGACTTATTTTTGGGAACAAGTGGTTTTAATTTATGCAGAGTTTATTACAAGAAAAGAATGCTTTCTAAATGCCTCCTTGTTACTTGCACCCCACTTCCAGAACACGCATGCATGCACTTTATGTTCCGTTGTCGTAATGAAAAAACACTTTCTGGTGATTTCAATAAAGAGCAGGAGTCTTGGGAGGAAACAGAGTGAAAATATGAATATGACTGCAAACAGAAAAAAAAAACTTAAACTAGGTAACTAAAATAGAAACAATGAATAGAAACCCCCCCCCCCCCCCCCCAAAAAACAAACAAACAAACAAACAAACAAAAAAACTCATTCTCACACACAGAGAAGATAAGTTATAGTCTGGCAGGAATGGACTTATGGTAAATGGTAAAGCATGCCACAAGGGCTTCTGTTCAGAGCATCAAAGAGGGACAGTCGCAGGGCAGCTGAACAGACCCAAGGAGATTAGATTTAACAAGGTGCTGGAAACATTCCTCAGAGATTTTGATCCGCGATGATATGATAGCATCACACAGTTGCTGCAGATTTACATGAGTCAAATCTCACATTCCACCACATCTCAAAGATGCTCTATTGGATTCAGATGTGGTGAGTAGGGAGGCCATTTGAGTACAATGAACTCATTGACATGTTCAAGAAGCCAATTTGAGATGATTTGAGCTTTTTGACATAGCACGTAATTCTGCTTGAAGCAGCCAAGAGAGGATGGGTACACTGTGGTCATAAAGGGATAGAGTTAGACTGTTGCATGTAAGCATTGCCCCAAAGTGTGCCAAAAAAATCTGTGACAGTATTACACCATCTCCAGGATTATACTATCTCTGGGGGGGTTAAACCATAAATACAAGGAAGGATGGAGCCATGCTCTCTTGTTCTTTATTTAAAATGTTGCAAGAAAAATTTAGGCTCTTTAGACCAGTTAATTATGCAGTTTTGGTGAGCACAAATTGGGAATGGGAACTGTAGTCTCAGTTTCCTGTTCTCTCAGGAGTGGCATCCGGTGTGGTCTTCTTCTGGAGTAGCGTATCTGCTTAAGGTTCAATGTGTTGTGTGTTCGGGGATGCTCTTCTGCCTTCCTTGGTTTGGGGCTGAGAAATATGAACTCAATTCAAAATCACCACTATGTGATCAATTGTTTTCTTCTTTTCATTTGATGTTGTACCAAAAGTGTTCCCAATTATTGGGCACGGCATTTTTATTTGACAAAAGCTGCTCAAGTTTCACAGTCAGCTCGTTGTTTGAGTTTTGTCAAATCAAATCAAATCAAATCACTTTTATTGTCACATCACATGTGCAGGTACACTGGTACAGTACATGTGAGTGAAATTCTTGTGTGCGAGCTTCACAAGCAACAGAGGTGTGCAAAAATACAATAACATAAGAACAAGCAAAATATAAGACTATATCAGTCTCCTGAGAAAGAAGAGGCGCTGCTGCGCCTTCTTCACTGTTTTGTTTGTGTGTACTGACCACGTAAGATCCTCAGCCAGATGTACACCAAGGAACCGGAAGCTGCTCACTCTCTCCACAGCAGCGCCATTGATGGTGATGGGGGTGTGTACTTCTCTGCACCTCCGGAAGTCCACTATCAACTCCTTTGTCTTTGCGACGTTGAGGGTGAGATGGTTGTCTTGACACCAGTGGGTCAGGGCGCTGACCTCCTCCCTGTTGGCCGTCTCATCACCTTTGGTGATAAGACCCACCACTGTAGTGTCATCCGCAAACTTCACAGTGATGTTGGAGTTGCTAGTGGCCGTGCAGTCGTAGGTGTAGAGTGAGTACAAGAGAGGGCTCAGTACACACCCCTGTGGAGCACCAGTGTTCAGTGTGATGGGGGATGAGGTGATGCTGCCCAGTCTGACCACTTGGCGTCTGTCAGACAGGAAGTTAAGGATCCAGCTGTGTTTTAAAGGGGACGGTACATGCTGGAGCAGTAACACAATTTAAAAGCAAAAACAGGAAATAACTGACTTCGGTAAGATTCCTATACGCTGATTTCCTTCAAGAACTGGATATTTTCTCCTGTTTTTAACAATTCCTTCTAAACCCT